AAAAAAAAAACAAGTTGTTTCTTTTGGGTACCCCCTCGTACTATAGCGGGAGTCCAATTTGACATTCTTTTTGAATTTATCTCAAGTCATAAACCTCAGTCTTAGGTTCCCTCCATTCCAGATTTTCTATAGTTTAGTGTTCAGATCCACTGTTCCCTAAAGACATTAAATATGGGGATTTCACTATAATTGAAACATTGATATAAAGGAAAAGCTATCCTTTTACTTAATTATGTAACAAGACATGGGGAATGGAGGTATAGTTCTGCCATTCTTGACATCGGGAAACAGTGAAGTAATTGGTTTTATTATTTACCTTTAAGATAGTAGTTTACTGGGAGTTGAAGTGTATGGTGATGACAATGCCATTGAAGATGGTGACAATTATTCCTTCCTTTGTGTGCCATGAATTTTTTTCATGTGTACTGAAATTGAAAACTTTGCGTACATAGAGCAAAATACTGTGGCTGCAAAACTGGATGTAAATTTAAAATTGCAGGTTCTTGAAATATGGTGCTGTGTTAAACTGTAGTTGACCACCTCTGAGGTCTAGTGGTCAGAGTTCCTGGCTACAGATCCAGAGGTCCTGGGTTCTAGTCCCTGCACTACCAGCTTTTCTGAGAAGTTGTGGGTCTGGAACAGTGTCCACTCAGCCTCGTGAGGATCATTGAGGAACTATTTCAAGGAAATAACGGCTCTAGTCTAAGAAACCGAAATTAATGGCTGTGGAGATCTGTTGCACTGACCACGTGACACACTCTGTCAGCTAAAGTTGGCACTAACTTCGCCGACAAGTGGCAGTTGCTCAATTGGTATAGCTCGCTTGTAGACTACAGGCCATGGAGTTTCTGTTAAACTGTAGTTGGAAAAGACGTTGCTATTTGTGTGTATGTGCTTTGAATGCTATTTTTGAATAAGTCATTAAGCAGAACTGGTTAACAGCTGCTGTTGTTTTGAACTATGTTGCAGTTTCTGTTGAGTGTGAACGTAATGGTAGGCTGCATCACCAGGAGTCTGATGAACTCCAGGATACTAGAAATCTAAGAGATGAAGACTTACGGAATCTGGCTCAGGTATATATTTGTTTTGTCTTTATTTATTATATATTCAAATGACATTTTATTAACATTTTCATCCATGATATGTAAGCAATGTCCGTCTTTTAGTGCACTTGATTTTACTTGTTACTTCACAACATGTTTTGGCACTACAGTGCCATCATCAGGTGCTCTATTTACGTCAGTCTATTTCATTGCTTGCCATTACATCATTGTAAAATTTAAAAAGTATTTAAAAATGTTCGTCATTTATAATAAATATATATATACTAAAAACTTGTAAAGATTATTTATCTTATCTGTCCCAATTCTAACACCACGCATAGTTTCACCACTGTGGGAGTCGTTCCTCTTATTCTCAGGGTATATCGTGTCTCGTGTTGCGTGTTCCCTGTTTGGTTGCAGGTGTTGTAATTTGTAATTTGTAATTTGTTGTAATTACAACACCCGCAACCAAACAGGGAACACGCAACACGAGACACGATATACCCTGAGAATAAGAGGAATGACTCCCATAGTGGTGAAACTATGCGTGGTGTTAGAATTGGGACAGATAAGATAAATAATCTTTACAAGTTTTTAGTATATATATATTTATTATAAATGACGAACATTTTTAAATACTTTTTAAATTTTACAATGATGTAATGGCAAGCAATGAAATAGACTGACGTAAATAGAGCACCTGATGATGGCACTGTAGTGCCGAAACATGTTGTGAAGTAACAAGTAAAATTGAGTGCACTAAAAGACTGACATTGCTTACATGTCATGGACGAAGATCAGTGCAACAGGACGCTAAAATACAACATTATAACATTTTCATATATTAACACACTTGCTTTTTTAGGAAACTTCACAACGCCGACTGACAAATGTTAGTTCTATGCCACATCTTTCACGTGTGAGCTCCATCAACCTCACTATGTTGGACAGCAAAAAGAAACGAGGTAATTACTATCTCTGGAAAGTCTCATAAGGGTATTCTCCAAGCAAGACTGAGTCTTGAATTCTTTTTGGATCAAATCAAGAAAATATATCTTGGTCTCAAAATTGAAGAATTTTCAGGTAAATGCTTGTGCATTTGGCAGACTTTGCAATCTGTCATAACTGCAACAGCTGGCAATACTGGCGCAAGTCTAGTAGTAAGGAAAAGAAAATTATCTGTCTCCCTGTTTCTGCCCATGGTGGAAAAGAAATTTATTTTTTTAATGGAGTGGGTTATGAAAATCTTCTGTTAAAATAATAGAATGTCAGAAAATAATACAATTTAGTGCACAATGAAACTGTGGCAAGTATTATAAATTATGAGTGCGGTGAAAACATTGGTCTTGTAGAGAAAGTTCTCATTCTCATGTTTTCTTGTTCTTTTCCCCGAATTGTTGTCTTATTTGCATCTTGAACTGTCATTCTTGCACATGCCTGGTTTTGTCTGTTTCATAGGTATGTACAAACCCGTCATAATAAAATCCCTTTTTAAATCTTGTCAGTATCTTGAAGTGTTGCATCCTATTTATGGTGCTTACAGATGAAAATGAAGCGAATGCCATCACACTAAGGTTTATTTTATTTATTTATTTATTTTTTTTTTGTTTAACAGTTTGCAACGTGATTTTGTCTAGATTTGTGTATATCCTCAAGACTTACCCGATGATGGCCTGTCTAGGCCAAAACTTCTTGTGAAATGATAAAGAAATATTAATTTTTGTAATGGCAACCCCTTCATTTTTCTTGTCAGAATCTTAGTGTAACGCATTTAAGAGCGTTCATGGAATTGGATATTGGAACTGTCTTTAGCAAGACTTAAGAAGCACAAAGAAAAAGAAGTTTCATATGTGTTCATATTTGCATGTCTACATGTGAAAATTCCTACTTATGAATTCACTGGGTGAACTTTAAATATTGGTTTTTGGTATACAACTTCAAATTCAGTTTCTTTTGATTATACACATTTTAAATTGAAATCTTTCTTGAAATGAAGTTACTTTGCTTTTATAGTCATTCACATTTTCTTAAAAGCCACTTGCTTCAGGGCTTGTGAAGTTCTGGTGATTGTAGCACGATAATATAAACTATTGGGCTAAGAAAAATTCAGGTATATTAAGAAGAACTTAGGTTGCCTACTCACCATTATGTGTTTCAGTATCTATGATAACGACAGCAAGACACTAACTCAGTATTTGTACTACTTCCTACATCATTCCTGATGATAATTTCCATCAGTACAGATTCCAGTTATATTAAATTTTTCAGACATAACCTCAAAGTTTACATTCTCAATGTCTTTATAATCATTATGAAAGAAATGCTTGTAGTGCAGAATTTGTAGGTATTTACATTTGAAGCATTAGGGTTATGACACTGTGTTGTAGCCTGGTACGTGGGTACCACCATTTTGGAGGGGCATACACTCTTCATCTTCAGGGTAGGTTATATTCATGGTCAGTCTCCATACAGAATTTCATGTGTCTAGCTTTATTAGTTCACTAGTTATCTCCATCCAATCTAAAGCTGAACAATGACTTCATCTTGGTGACATGTTGCTGTGTTGTTTTACATTTTGTAGAAAATTTTTTAACAAAAGTAGCATATGTTTGAAGATCTATTAACCCCACAAAGTTGAATGGGATTTGTATTATGAACAGGTGCAATTGTTCAGTCAGAACAGATGAACAGTGTAGACTACATGCCAGACTATGGATTGTTCGAAGCAAGCCGCATTGCTTGTCCTGTTTTGCCACAGTACCACCCTAAGCAGCTCATGGAACTCCTCAATTCAGGCAAGATACGCTGGGTCAAGGCTATCTTAGCCCATCTAGTCAGGTTAGTGCACAGAATTACCAAAACTTGCATGATTTTGAGTATGTAATTTAATTACGTATTTGTATGTTATGAATTTCACTTAGAAAAATAAGAAATATAATTACAATTTCCAGTCCCTTTGTTGTTCTGTGGTTGTAGGATTACAGTTTTAAAACATTTGAACACTGCCTTCATTGTTGGCTTTTAAAATGGTTTGACAGCCATCAGTATCTTCTTATTCTTGTACAAATATAAATTATTTACATGCATACACTGAGCTCCCACAACAGACTTCCAGGTGACTGATACCTGATATTACTTGACTGAGTCTAGCTGATTTGGATGACGTTGGGTGACTGAGTGTTATTAATGACTGAGAATGACTAGTCACTGAGGTGACTGTTTAATAACATGTGAGCACTTCCAGTAATCCTCATAATCAAGGTACAGTAAGGTAAGGTAAGGACTGAAGAGAGATGAAGTGACAGGAGGTTGGAGAAAACTGTATAACGAGGAGGTTCATAACTTGTACTCTTCTCCAAGTATAATAAGAATGGTCAAGTCAAGGAGAATGAGGTGGGCAGGGCATGTAGCACGAATGGGGGAGATGAGGAATCCATATATGATATGGGTGGGAAAGCCAGAAGGAAGGAGACCACTGGGAAGACCAAGGCATAGGTGGGTGGACAATATTAAAATGGATCTTAGAGAGATAGGATGGGATGGGATGTTATGGATTGGAGTGGTATGGCTCAGGATAGGGACCAGTGGAGGGCTCTTGTGAACATGGTAATGAACCTTCAGGTACCATAAAATTCTGGGAAATTTTTGAGTAGCTGCAGAATTGGTGGCTCCTCAAGAAGGGCTCAGCTCCATAAGTAAGCAAGTTTTTAGTGTGCAGAATTAAGATGAGTAAATTAAAAAAAGATTATGTATGACAGTTATTTGCTGTTTGGTTCTTGAAAATTTGAAGCAAATATCCATCTCTAAGTAATCGATTTTGTGCATGTCAGGTGTGTTTGATCTTCTTTTACATTTATCTCTCTGTCTGTTATGTAATATAGATGTATTTCTGGCACTTGTGCTGTACGCCAAGGCAGTAGCACTGATGAAGAGAATCTTGTGAGGCAAAGAGGGTGGTCCCGTTCACGTACATTGTCAGTCAGCTATATTGGAGCAGGTATGCGATGTTGTTTATGAATTGGGAGTAAACATTTGTTTTCTCTCCAGAAGACAGTATTTAAGTGTATAATTTTCTTCTTTGAGTAATTTGTGAACCGCTTCTTGAAACAGGGATTTAGGAATTCGGTATAGCAAGTGTCACATAACTTCGAACAAGGCCAAGAGTAACCTTGAATGCGCAGAAGAAAAATTTCAGACAAGGGGGTGGAGGGTGTGAGAAGTGACAGGTGGCCAGTGGAAGAACGAGTGTTAAGAAACTCCTCCCACCACAAGCTATGCGTGGGATTTGACTAGGAATGCAGGTCCTTGTTCGAAGTTACGTGACACTTTCTATAACTTTGTGCTATGTTACATCAGGTTTTGAAGTGTATAGTTCGGTAACTTGGTGATATTAGTTTATATTTATTTGTGGTTTGCTGAATGATGATGTCAGTAGACTGTATATTTTAGTTATGTATTTCAAGGGTACTAATGCAGCTTCATAAATGTTGAATGGTTGCAGGGTTATTGCCACACTGTCATATTTCACTTGTTTGTGTACATTATTAATACAACATGTTTTGGCCATATATGTATAATATTGTAGCATTCTGATGCACATCATTAACAAATGTTACTGATTCACAGTCTTATATGCAACTCGTCCTTCTAAAACTTACATGAAAGTTTCTTACATCACATAATGTGTCTTGAAGGTATAGGTAAATACTATCCCTGTAACAGGCCATGAAGGCCCATAGCATTGTCAGCTGTTGAGGCTCGCACATTTTCTTTATACACTCAGTTCAGAGATGGAAGTAAGGTTGTCATACATATGCGCCAGCTGCCCTTTACCACCCAGGAAGGTTCCTGGTACTTATTTCTGTTAGGTGATTTGACCCCAGGGCCATAGTGCGGCTGGAAGGATTAGGTCAGCTGAAAAAAGAATCCACCTCGTTGGGACTCGAACTTGCTACCTTCTGGTTTCTAGCATAGTGCCTCAACCAACTACACTACTGCATGCCCTACACAATGTGTCTTTTTAAACCTTATTTAAAAATTTCTGTACATTGCACTGCATGTTTCAACCAACATTAGTCATCATCAGATGTTTAAAATTGTTGGTGAAAACTGCTGTGCTTCTGTTTTGTGGTTCTTATATTTAGTGTGTAGTCCCATTTGCACTTCTCACAGTACTGTGTTTTAAATGTTTGTGAGGGTGAAACTGTTTGTGATTTTGTATTTTATAATGTTTGTCTTTGATTCAGGTACAACAAGTCCGCTGGAGCAGCGAGGATCTACTACTGCAATACCAGAGGAAGTGACACTGGACTATGCAGAAATCACGTCAATTCCCCCACTGCCCCTCTGGACTCTCTTGGCTGCAGACAAAGAAACACCTACCATGAGTGCTCAGATGAGTGAGGATCAGCAGGATTATAATGACTTGTTTGATGGAAGCTTGACAGTGGCAGATGAATCCCTTGATGACCTGTTGGAAGATGAACCCGATTCACCAAGGAGGCATGATCGCAGACCTTCTGTAAATCAAGAGCGACAAGGGCTTTCTCATTTTGGACCTAGACAGGTAAGGATCTGCCTGGAGGGACTCAGGAAAATCATGACATAGGTCAGTGGGAATGGATGTTTTGGTTATGAGCAGTATAAAAGCATGGAAACAGAATGCTTTTGAGTATTACAGTCTTGTAGCATGTACCATGTAGTTTGGTATACTCGTATAGGTATCAATATTTCAGAAGAACCTGCTTTCACAGTTTTATTCCCTGAAGATGGAGGCAGCGAGTTCCACCAAAGTGTGATACCTAACTTATAAACTAAAATTGTCACTCTAATATTTTTGTTTCCTGGCTATATTCTGGGTTTTCCTTCTACATTTCATGGAAATGTCATGTCAGCTGCAGAAGTCCACTGATGTCTGCATTTGCTGTTCTCCTCTCTGTTTGTTTGATCTTTGAGAAGACTGGTGAAGACATACTTTCATACCATCTGTCAAAGCTGGAAGCAAAATATTCATGGTTGTTTCAGCAGGAGAAGAAATTGTGTGCTACCACAGGCATACACTAATAGGATGAAATTTCTTCCAGTGAAGATAACATGGAAAATTTTGCGACTGTATTGATATTTGCACAGTTTGTGCCATTGAACACTGTTATTTTACGGTTTCCTTCAGTTGTCAATATTGGAAGACCTAGACTGATTGAAATAAGCTGAGGACATAGGAGCTGAGGCTTTATGCACACAGAGGCTTGTACTGAGAAGCTGAGATATTTACAGTTATAATGGAATGTTACCAAGTCCTGCAGTATTTGCACAAAATAATGTACAGAGGGTGGACAGAACAATGGAAACACAAAGAAACTTGGGAGTTGAATTTATGTTGGGTGCATTGAAAGAACCAATTGGCAACACTGAATGTTATTCTGTTTGTTTTACACTCTGTAGTGTTCATGTCAGTGTGTTAGTGATTGTGTTGAATGACAGTCCTTGTGAAAGAATTAGAAAATAGGAGACTTGTTCGATTTTGAAAGAGGACAGATCATTGGTGTGCATTTAGTGGGAGCATCTGTGACCAAGACTGCTACATTATTAGGTGTATCGAGAACAGCAGTTTCTAAGGTTATTTAGGCATACACGAATCATTGGAAGATAGCATCAGCAAAGAGGGACAGTGGGTGAAAATCAGCATTGACAGAATATCATCATACACTGAGGGATTTTTATGAAGAATCACAGAACTACAGCAGCACAGATGACAACAGAATTGAATACGCATCTTGAAGACCGTGTTTCCTCAAAAACTGTCGGATGTGAGCCTCACAAATCCAACATCCACAGTAGGGCTGCAATTGCTAAATCTCCAGTTACTGAAAGTGATGCTTAGATGTGTAAACAGTGGTGTCACAATCATAAAACCTGGACATCAGACAACTGGAAACCATGTGATGTGGTCAGATGAGTCATCGTTCATGCTGTTCCCTAGATCAGGAAGGGTTTACATTTGGAGAACACCCAAGGAAGCCTGTTTCCAACAGTGAAACACAAGGGAGGTTTTGTGATAATTTGGGCAGCAAAATTGTATTCTTTTGGTCCCAGTATTAACCTTCATGGCTGAATTACTGCAAAGGAGTATGTGGACAGGTTGGGTAATCAGAGGTGCATCCTACGATCCAGATGTTATTTCCAAACGATGCAGTTTTCCAAGAAGATAGTGCCCCCATTCACTCACCTGGAACTGTTCAGTCATTGTTTGAAGAGCATGAAGGTGAACTTTATCATATTTCCTGGCCAACACAATCACCAGATTTGAACATCATTGAACCACTCTGGTCAGTTTTGGATACTAGAGTGAGGAACAGATTCCAACCTCCAAAATCTTTAAAGCAACTCGAAGATGTACTTCTAGAAGAATGGTATAAAAGTCTGCAAGAAACTGTTCAAAACTTGTGGAAGTCCATTCCAAGAAGGATTAGGGCTGTATTGAAGGCAAAAGTGGTCCAAGACTATATTAATAAAGAAATGCATAGAGTATCTGTAGTGAAGAGGGCAGTCTTCTGGGATATGGCGCCATGTAGATATTGTGTTAACCGATGTTTTGGAGGAGCGTATCGCCTCCATCTTCAGGGTAGAAGAAAAAAGAAAATCTGCAAGCGAGGAGCCAGCAGGAGCAGGTGCTCAGGTACCCCGAAGATGGACGCGATACATTCCTCCGAAACGTGGGTTAACGCAATATCTACATGGTGCCACATCCAAGAGGACTGCTTGCTTCATAGTCACCGCTGTGAAAACCTCAAATCTTACAATATCCATAGTGTTCCCATTATTTTGTCCAACCCTTGTATGTGTCTTTAGTAACTCAGCTCTGTGCTGTAATGAGTCAAAGCAGAGGTTCACTTTTCCAGTAACATGCCCAGAGAACAAGAAAAATTTGTTCACTGTTTGCTGGTTTCAAAACCAAGAATGATGATCTTGGTTTTAATGCACCTTGCACCCATCATGTGATGATATTATTTTTTTTGCATATTGATTGGTCTCAGTTGCTACATCTTCTGCAAATTCTCTTTGTTGAAAAATATAATTGAAACATTTCTAGAAATTCATCCATATACTCTACTGCATTCTGTAGCTCAAATTCACCAGTTTATCACATAGGTGACTGGCAGTGAGACAGAAAACTTTTTCAGTGCAAAAGAACAGTGGGATATTTAACTTTGCATACCATGATTGTAATTATAAAAGATGGAATGGAAAGATTTAAGTTTTTTTTATTTTTCATTATATACTAACCATTAATCAAATATTAACTCTGAAAATGAGTTATCAGAAGTATTTATTATTTTACTATAAAATGGTTGAAGAAACTATTAATTTACTTTTAGTCTGATGATGATTAGACCTACTTAAATTAATTATCAATATAATCCTGAAATGATACTAAAAGCAGTATTATTATGGTTCTTAGTGTGTGCAATGGTGACATGACATACAGTTGTGCCATGCTGAGCATGTCGGATAGTGCTTACCTGTTAAATCTTTAACAAATGATATTTGCAGCTTACATATTGAAAACATTTTTCAGTACATTAATTAATGATTATCAATCAACATGACAGACACATACTTTGCATTGTTCCGATTAACTGTGGTAGGTGCCTTTTTTTTTTAATGGTATGTGTACCTGCAATAAGTTGAAATGTACTGGGAAAATCCAGAAGTTTTCACTGCTGGTGCATTGTAAGTTTCAGTTTTGATACCAGAACTTAGCATGAAAGTACTGGTAAACATGTTTCTAGGAAACAAAAGTGGTCTGTGTATGCATAATTATGATAACAGGTAAGTAATCATGTATTTCCATTGAAGGATATAAAATAAATGTGTGTATCGTATTTTTATTACCAGGGGCGGCTACTGTCACGTTTGCTTACTCACACACACCTCCCTGGACTGTCGAGCCTAGACCAGATGCATCTTCTTGCATTGGCAGACACAGTGTCAACATGCAATACCGACTTTGCTGAGCGGTTTGCTATCGATGCTGCAAAGACTGCTATTGCTAAAGAAAATTTGTCAGGCATGCCAGAAGGGGAAGATATCTCTTCAGGTTTGTAGTTTTAATGATGCGTTTCATGATTACAATGGTCAGTAAGTCTAATGTAATTAAAAGTATCTTCATTGAAAGTTGTATTGTTCAGATATTGTTTTTTCTGCTTATTGATATTCATAACAAATCATTTACTGTGATTTGACAGAATGGTGTTATATCTCAGAAGACAAAATTGTTCATACTGAAATTGAATATATTGTGACGTGTTGCGCAATGGTAATAGGCAAGTCAACATCCTCCCTCCCCTCCCTCCCACCAACGGTGACGCGCCGAGCGGAGCCGAAGTTAACCGAGTCCCAGCATCCTGGTAGGTATGCAACGCGAGTCAACAGCGGTGACGTCATCAAGGGAAACCGCAGTTGCTAGGCAGCAGTAAACAACTCCGGACAGCGTTGCTAGCAACACGGCGCCGGGCAACAAGGGTGCCTATTACGTGGCCATGTTCTGTGTTGTCCAGAACGAGGCTACATAAGGAGCAGCGAAGGCTATTCACAGTCAGTTCCGAGAGAGTTCTTAAGGCAGCTACCTACGAGTTAGTTCTGAGAGAGTTCCGAGTTAGCCAGCAACCAGTCAATTGTATTCTGGCATTTGTAGTGTAGTATTTGTGATACTGCCGATGGCAGTAATTGTCAGATTGTTAATTGTGTGATTGTAAGAGCGAATGTGAAATAAAATTCGCTATATCAAATACGGCGTGAAGTTATTTGTCGCGTTATACACCCAACACGTGACAATATTATCATGCGATTGAGTTATAGAGATGGGTTTTGGATTGGTAAATGGGTTTATTGAACTCTTACAAGAACATAACTACAAATAACTATAGCATGAACTCAAATTCACACACACTGCAGTTCACTACAGCACATACAAAGTCTTCTCAGTCTGCTGTATCTTCATCGGTTGTCACCTGGTAATGGCATCCAACACCATAGCTTCCTCAGCTTCTATGTTCATGTCCTTACTGCCTGGCGACTTTCTCGCAACTAACTCCTACTCTTCTGTCATCTCAAGACTCTCTTAATTGCAGCTGCTGCTCGTTATATAGCCTCGGCGTGGACCACATAGAAAACACCTCTCCCAGTAGTTCTTCTATTGTTGCTTCACATAACTATCGTACAGACTGCATAGAGAACTCCGCTTCCCACTTATTCCATTATTGTGTTACGAATCTGTTGCCTAGCAACAGAGATGATTGCAGAGCCGTTCCCAAGCAATGGCTGTCTCCACTGACATCACAGATTTTGTCTTGAGCAAATATGCCACAATATGTACGTGTTGCCCAAGTGATGGGTTGTAAGAACATGAAACTGCATTTGATTAAAAGGTAGTTGGTACATTATTCAGAGATCTAAGTTACAAGGGCAAATCAGAAAGTCTTTGCCCCTAGTTTTTTCATCCACAGTAATACACATACAGGGAAATAAAAATACACGCAGTGTTCTAAATACCTTTGACTATTTTTCCACATAGTTACCACCCTGGTTCAGGCATTTGTCCCATCGCACCACTAGTTTGGAAATGCCGCTGTTGTAGAATTTGGCTGGTTGAGCGCGGAACCACCGCTGGACAACGGTTTTCACCTTGTCTTCATAAATGAACCTTTGGCCTTGGAAATGACCTTCATGTGCACACGCTGATCCTCTTTCACTGTTGCATCCACGTGGGCAATGTTGTCCAGTGTGAGTGAGGTGCGAGGCCACCCCGACTGCTCAATGTCATTAAGGTCTTTCCGACCATCAGTGAACTCACAGAACCATCACCACACACTTCTCAAAGCGAGACATTTGTCCCCATACGTCAGCTGCATTTCCCTATGGATCTCGATGGGTGTTCATCCCTTGCACCATAGAAAACGAATAACACTTTGCTGCTCATACGACGTGGACGTATTGAGCACACCAGCCATCTTCGCCGACTGACAGCGGCACAGTGCCGTGGAGCAGCCAAGAGTTAATGCTGGGCTGGTCCAAGCGTACCCTGTTACATTGAATGTATAACCCAGTTACTCAATCACACTTATATTTTGGCTGAAAAAATAGGGGTACCTTCGTACCTAAATTGAAGATCTACATCTAAGAAGTAGCTACTGTGAAAGTATTATAGGATGAACTTTCCTCATATACTTTCGAAATGTCAGCACCAGTATATTCAGTAGTAGCTGACTGAAAATTGGCTCATTGTGTCTAACTCAAAAACTGTTTTCAGGCCTTTACTATGATTAGCATCCTGTTAATGTTTTGGCTGTTTCAGATTCCTTGGATGACTGTGGACTGAGATTTCTGTTGGCCATGAAGCATTACAACTATTTATTAAGATGCTTGCCTATTGTTCAGCGAGCACAGTTCCAGCGCCAAGGTGTTGGCACCAACAACTTAGTGTGGGCTTTCCACTCTGAAAGTGAAGAGGAGCTGCTAGCTCTCATTCCATCATATGCTAAAGGGAGTCCCAAGTGGGCCATTCTGAAGGAACTGGGCGTGGGCTGGTGGCTCCGCAACCACACACTACTCAAAACATGCATAGAGAAGGTATGATATGTCCTGTATAAATGAGATTCAGTAGACACCAAGGTAAAGATGTAGTGTCTGTGTGCGTAATTAATGAAGCAACACAACATTAAAACGTATGGGGGAGTGTAGGTATAGCTCCATCATTCTTGAACTTGGCAAAGGATGGAGGTGAGTGGTCAGCTTCACGCTCTGGCCTCTTTATCCCCAGGGTACCCATTGGATGGTTGAACCCCAAGCCAGTCTGGATGCTGTGGAGAAGAGAAGATCTCTTGCTCATGCCAGAAATCGAACCCCAGCCATTCACCTTATTGCCTGTCACTATCAACTGAGCCATCATAGCTGGGGCAATTATCAGAGACTGGCTAATCACAGAAATTCACTAAATTTTGAAACTTTTTTTGTGTTGAGAAGTCAGATGCTGGATGACATTGTGTGGCTTTAAGTGAACATTTATTCAGCACTGATAGGAAGTTAATCAGCTTGAGGTATGATGATTATTTTTTCTGTTTTTTCCTCATGTGTGTATAAGGTTCATCTTTTTATATTCCAGGCCTTGAAATGAATACACTGTGTCCCTAGTGTTAACAGTTTTATTACATTAACATGTGGTCCTCAAGAAATTTCGTTTTCCACTGAAGGTGTCTCATCCATCCTGAATTGATTAGTATCCGAATAAAACTGTTTTTGCTCAGGTTGCAAAAGCGTCATATATGGTGAAGCAGGATCCTTTGGATGCTGCCATATTCTACCTTGCCATGAAGAAGAAGAGTCTTGTATGGGGTCTGTTCCGCTCAAAGAGAGATGAGCGCATGACACACTTCTTCTCCAATAACTTCTCAGAAGATCGATGGAGAAAGGCTGCTCTTAAAAATGCATTTGCACTACTTGGGAAACAGCGGTTTGAACATGCTGCTGCGTTTTTTCTTCTGGCAGGAGCTTTGCGAGATGCAATTGAGGTATTTTTGTTTTAGATGCATGTATTTTTTCCACCAATATATACTAAGTTATATCACTGAATAAATCTTGTGAGCATAATTCTGCCATGTGACTGTTATCAAACTTAATGGGATATTCTGTACTTAACAACTAGACCACAAACAACAAGTTAATGTTATCACTAACAGTTTTTTTCAATATTGAGATTACTTTTCCATTCAGTTCTTGTCAGAGCCTTCAGTGACATTTTGTATTTCATAATGAAACACAGTGATGAAGTTTTGAGCAATGTTTCTTTGTTATGTCAAATTCACTAGCAAAATTATTATGGGGAGGAACTGTGTTTGTTTCTTTCATATCTTGCCCTGATCCTTTGGTATGCTAAGCACAGAATTGCTGGTATGACACATACTGCAAAAATACTTTGTTTAATTTTTGTGCTTCATTTAACACATACTGAAATATTGAATGTTGCAGATTTTATATACCAATTCATGTTACTTATATTTGTTAGGTGTGCTTAAACAAGCTAGAAGACTTCCAGTTAGCAATGGTGATTGCACGACTTTACGAGGGAGAGCTGGACTCAACTCCACCGAATCTGCGGCGACTTTTGTACGAAGTGAGTTATAACATACATTTGTTAGTACTTAAGGATCATAACAAAGTGTTTTGTTATCAGCGAATTTTTTATGAAAATTTGAAGTCTCTGAAGGTTTACAGTAAAAGAAGTTCCAAATACGTTCTTGGCCAGTCATTGTGAGTGAAGTAACGAAGATTTATAGTTAGTACAGTTTCTTGCTCAGTTTAAGTATATTAGTAATTTCATTATTTATTTGAGATTTTATGTTCTCATGACCGTGAATATTATGATTTGTGTATTCTGGGATGTGATGCCATATAGTTTGGTAGATAGGCGCCAACATTTTGGAGGGACACACTGCCTCCATTTTGAGGGTAGAAGAGGAAGCCAATTGGGGGAAAATGGTGCAGATATAGGGAAGGGAAGATAGGGGTCAGTGCAGGCTAGGAGCTGACCAGTAGGAACCATCAACCCTGCAAAGGGCTGTTCTAAAATAACAGATGCCGATATGAAAAGAAATTAAGCATTAAAGGAAGTAAGGAAAGGAGGTACAAGGAAAGTAAGGTAAAATGAAAAACATAAAGATAATATAATAAAAAGAAGAGATACTTGTATGGTGGAGGAAGGAGAAAAAGCAGAATAGGAATCAGTAGTCCTGCAGGGCCCTGTATTCAAAGGAGTCACAGAAGTAAGAAGTGGAGGAGGCAGGAATATGGACAAGAGAGGTAAAAACAAAGTAAACATAAATTAAATAAGACTAAGATATATAGTAAGTAAAGAAGAAGAACAGGAAGGGGAGGAGATGAAACGAGAAAGGAGACCCTGAAAAGGACAGTCGTTGCTGGCCGTACGCTGTGTACGATGCAGAAGGCAAAGTAAATAATGCAGTCATTTGTTCCCCAATTTTGACATGTAACACTTGAGTTTATACTGACTTTAGGCTTTCATGGTGATTAATTATTGATGTTGATTCTGTTTTGGGGTTGTTACACGTTTCAGAGATAAATGCTGTCTCCGTCCTCAGGGTTGAATTGCATAGGTTGGTGAATTTCTGTGTACATACAGCATTGTGGCCTGACTCACTGCTTGTACTGGCCCAGGCAAATCACCGATCGCCACTCTGTTCCCCCCTTCCTCCAATTGCTTTCAGAAAACAATGCTACACATACACTGAAACCCACCAACCTACACACTTCATCTCTGAAGATGGAGGCAGCATATTGCTCCAAAATGGCATCAACATCATCCGCATTCACATGATGTACCAACACAAGAACAGAGTAAGTATCAGCACTGAGCTGGTGAATATTTCCACTAAAAATGTTTGTGTAAAGCATTCTGGGACTTCACGGGATGTTGGTGACTGACTAATCAATTTAAATATTCTCTTTCCCCTCCCCTTCGCCTTATAACTTCCCCTCCCCTCCCTATAAAGGAAGACTTTCTTTTTTAATCTTTTTTGTCTGCAAAGGCTTCACCTATCAATAAATGACAATCTTTTAAAGTGACTGTAATTTTATTTAAATGCTAAGTGATATATGGACTGTGAACAGTGGAGTAGTGAGGTTTTTATCAATGTGGAACAACAATTTTAGGCCCTGGCTGATTATGGATTTCAGTTATTGGCAGTTGGTCATTTGTATCCAGGTTTGTCAACTGCAGTGTTTGGTTATATGTATCCATGGTTTTTAGTTTGTGTATGCATGAAAAGAATTGGTTGTGTCTGCACCAGAAGGTTCACATTTGTTTTGGGCAGGCCTTTAATGGCATCTGAAACCAGTTCTCTAGCTTCCATATTACCATTGCTTTGTGCCTTCTTGACACTATGGAGTACCTCTTAAGTTCCCTCAGTCCATTTGTCTGTCTGTGTACATGAAACAGCTGTAGAACTGCTGGGCATATATTTGTGAATTTTGAGGAGAAATCTATGAAAATTGTCAGATCATTTCAAATTTTCGTTTAGATTGGACACATTTAATGGTGATTTTACATTAAGATCTACACTTGTTTTTTACACTGTCTCACTAAATATTAATTGGAGAGAAAATGTTTCAAACAAAGTTTTATCAAAAAGTGGTATACATATCTTATATGCAGTACACTTTATCCATGAGTATTACAATTTTCAAGATAATTAAACAAAATGGATTTTATTTATGAGTACATGAGGGTTGAGTAGAGTCATGATGTAGCTGATTGAACTTTTATTGTGCCCATGAGTCACCGCTTCTGTCCTGCCCTTATCAGTTAACCCTACTTAACCATAATTTTATCTCATTTGATGCTTGTGTAACATGCAGTAAAGACACTGTCATTAAATAATTTATAAAGAAATATTGAATAAAAGCAGTTAACAACATTAATTATTCTGTTCAGGAGATCTTGGGCTGTGATAGTGAAGGTGGGAATCAGTGTTTGGCTCAGGCCCACCCTGACCCTTTCTTGCGATCCATGGCTCTTTGGATTCTGAAGGATTACACAGGAAGCCTCAATACCTTGCTGCAAACTAACACTGGCTCCATGCATCCACAGTACTCAGATAGTGATGATAAGTTTGAGGGTTCATCAGGTAAGATCGTTTAACAATTATTCTCTCTTCTCTGTTTCTCCAGCCTTAAAGATCACAAGTGGAGGTGATTGCAGATATTTTATATTCTTCTTCTTTGACCTATATGGACTAGATCTTTTGGATTGTTTCAGTTCAGAATTAACTTGTGAAATTATGAATCTTATAGACAGTTAGTAGGACACAGCTGACAGGGGATTGACCTACTGGGAAACCTGTACCTGCATGTGACAACGCAAACAGAAAAAGTGCTGACATATAAATATCCTGAGTGGGATTTTAACATCATGGGTCAGCATTTGAATGGTCTTACACCATGTTGCTTCTGTGATCAGTGTAATGTTCATTGGAATTCATTCAATATTCACTATTTAAGGTTTTCTAATCATTAATTTTTTAATTTCATCATTTCCCTTTTAAATTTACTCCATTTAATTCAAATTATGGTCATCTGGATTGTGACGTGTAGTACTACTATAGACAAATACAAATATTTTGGAGGAACATTCTGCCACAATTTTCAGGGTTTAAATGTGTAGGAAAAGCAATTGGCCATGTTATATAAGCAGGTTGTGAGGAAGGTGGTCACTCAAACCTGGAAGAAGGCTTAAAGAAATGGAGTACTATCCAGGCCAGTGGGAATGGTCATTAAGGAAACATGCCTTCTCAGGGGCACACTATGTTCTTTTGCCCATTGTCCTTCAGTCCTAAAATAGAAGTAGCACGTTCCTCGGAAACATTCGTATCCATATACAAAACTGTACGGTATCACAAGCCAGAAGACCACAGTCTGAATAAACTTTGCTGTGCAAACCTCAAAATTCATACTGCATTAGTATTTTTCTGAGCACATTGTTTGGTTCATTTTTCCTAAAGGGAAACCTGAATTAACCATTACTGTACAGAATTTCTGTAAACCTCCACACAGCATGAGAGTTGGATAGTTGGGGTGCCTAAAGGTAGATTAAAAATGTCACCTTAATCCAGAAATAAATAAATAAATAAATAAAGAAATACACTTAAAGAAATAAGTGAAGTGGCAACAGTATCATAGAATGGAGAAAAATCATTTGTTGACGAGTATAGTCTTCTGGGTTGTAATGTCATATGGTTTAGAAAGAGTCCAATATTTGGAGGAACATACTTCCTCCATCTTCAGGGTCGAAGAATAAGCAAAGCAAGAAACCAGCAGATTCAGGCAGCAAGCTAAGCTGAGCTTGCTGTTTGCATCTGTTGGTTTCTTGCTTGGCTTACTATTTAACCCTGAAGATGGAGGCAGTATGTTCCTCCAAACATTGGGCTCCCTACGAACTGCATGGCCTTAAAACCCAGATTCACCATGATGAGAACCTCAAATCCAGCAAAAAAGATTAATTTTTTCCCCTTGTACAGTGTACATCTATGGTAAAAGTTAAAAATTCACAGCATTGATTATAACATTTTCTAAAGAAAGTAATTTCTGTATTCGTACACACATTCAGGTTGCCATCATGTATGAAAGAACACTTGGCACTTTTAATTTTGTGTAAATGAGTTCCATTGAATTTTCTTCATATTAATGCACCAACACTGAAGTATTTAAATAAGTTTAAATGACCTGAGGATAGACATGAAAGGGCTGAAAAATTCCACTTTCCATCATTTTGCAAGTGAGAACAATCTGATCTGTTTGTAAGTCATGCCACAGTTTTCAAACTAAATGTTTAATAAGAAGTGCAGCCTGTACACGTATAAAAATGGGATATGTTAAGTTCATGATGAACAATTATTCTTGACCTCTAAGGGTTAGGACCTTTGCATGATCCTTTGTCATATATTACATGTAATTAGTTTTGTGCTCCTGTCTCTGAATTTAATTGCTTCACTCTTTCCAATGACATGATTTGTAATTTAAATGATATCTTTGTTTCTTGTTTGGTCCACTTAATCTATCCATTCACTTCTTTTAGAAATCGCTTCTAATTGTTAACAGACAACCTGTGAACCCATGAGGCTAATGTATGTATGTATGTATATCTAAATGCATATACAGATACTTAGAACTTGGCAGACATGTTAATATTTTGTGTGCATATAGCAAGTTGGCCTGGGAATTGAGGTTGTTGAGAATAATATGACTGTAAGTTCAGTGTAATAAAGTTTCAGCATATCATCTAAATGGCTGCAAGCAAATTAGTGTTTTAATGTAATTGTTATAATGGAGAGTGTTATTTCACATAGACATTCTTAAAGGAGACATTCTAAAAAGTCATGAAAAGTTAAACAGTTCTGTCTAGTGTGACTGGTGAAGATTTTTCTTATTTCAGTTATGTACGCCCTTACGTGTTTCGGTCTAGAGAGACCATCATCAGAGAGACACCTTTACACCAATACAGTTGGAAGCTACTATTACAATTTATGTTCTGAAATTTAAAATGTATACACATAATATTAATAATATACAATTGTGTATAAAATCTGAAGTCTTTAGAACTACAGTGGCTGTTCCAATACATTAAAATATTTACTCATATAATTCGTTTGTTAAGACTGTTGGAGTTCGTAAACCAAGCAGGTTCGTATCGTCCCTCTTATTATTTCTCTTGACGAGGGCTGAACGTGTGCTGCCTTATCATTCTCAAGAAGAGGGTTCTGCACAAATAATTGAAATATCACCAGTCATACTAGATGGAACTGTTTAACTCTTCATGATATTGTTAGTGTGATGGACCATAATGAAACAAATCAAATTCTAATAAGTGTTTATTAGGCATCTAATCTTGGTTCATTGTTCATGGTGATACACGTAATTGCATCGAGCTTATTTTTCAAGTGTAGGATTTAAAATAGGTTTGTTAACCCAGAACCTATCAGATACTTGATTTTTAAGGATTATGTAAGTTAATTGATACATGATGATTGACAGAAAACATGCTAATTAATTTTTATGGATTGAATCTGAATTTTTCAAGCATGTCAGTGATAATGGAGTTTGTTTCAATATTGATTTCCCTCTATAAATGTGTAAACACATAAAATAATTTATTTATACTTAGTAATTCCTTATTCATAGCCAGTAAAATGAAGATAATCAATTTGTTTCTTGACTTGTCTCTTCTTATTTATGGGGGAGAGTCAGTAAATAGGTCACAAATGGAAGTAAAACAGTTGTAATGGATGTAATAGGTTTTCTATATGTGTCACTAGGTAGCAGCACAGTCCAGCTTCATTGACAGTCTAGGTAGCAGATGTGCATGTGCATGTTCAGTGACTGGTTTCAGTAGTCAAAAGGGCAACCGTGCTTGAGGAGTATCCTACTGAAGAGTAACATTCTATTGTGCATTTTCTGTTGGTAAAATGATTCAATGAAAGGATATTCATAAAGAAATATTTAATGCTTACTGTGGGATGTGTTTATTGCATAAAGCGACTCACAACTGGGTCCAGAAGTTCCCTCAAGTACATTTGAAAGTCGCAAATGATGCCTGACCAGGTGGGGAAGTGGCTGAAAACAGCAGTCAAGAGACTTCTGTGCTGTGGGTTTTGTTGCACTGGTAAAACAATGGGACAAGTGTATCAGTGTTGGTGGAGTATATGTTGAGAAATAATTTTTTTTTCCAGGTTTGAATATCATGTTTTACATTTTATATCCATTTGTGACCTATTTACTGACTCTCCCTCATATATTAAAAACAGCCAGTTATTAACTTAAATCATGGGAAGTGCTCTTAGAAATGTTGTGTGTTTCTTTGTGTTGATAGCGAACCCAAATGTGTTCAACTTCTATGTATACCTGCGCACACATCCCCTGCTGATTCGACAGTACATTGCCTCCACTGCTCAGGATAAGAAGAAAGCTCATGCTGTTGTTTTGTCTGGCTTTAGTTACGGTTCTGATGCCAAACCCAGCAACCCAGATAAACAAGTAAGTGCTTGACTATATGTGGTATTTATAAAAATAAGTACCGTGTTTTCCTCTATACAGGACATGTGTTCTGTCCTTGAAAATGACCCTATAGCATTACTGTACACTGGTCCATCTCGTACGTTGGGAAGTATCAGTGAAAGTGAGGTACTGGGAAATATTAGAACCATGGTTATATATTGTGACATGTTGCGCAAAGGAGAACCCCCCCCCACCAGCAGTGACGCGGCGGGTGAGTCAGCGCTCCCCTCCCTCTCCTCCGCACGGTAACGTAACGGTGACGCAACCGGATTGTAACGGTAGTAACAGCGGTTACTACCGCTAGCGTTGCTAGCAACACAGCTCCAGGCAACAAGGGTGCCTATTACGTGGCCATATTGTCTGATCGAGGCTACATAAGGAGCAGCGAAGGCTATTCACAGTCATTTGTACTGTGACAGTCGCCGAGTGCGTTATCAACGACTTCTCAGTTCGCAAGTTACGAGCTACAGCCGCGTGTGCGATAACCAGTGATCACCAGTCATATCTGGAGAGTGTAATTCAGGGAGACTTGTATAGCTCCCGCATTATTAGTACGTGAAGACTCTCGAAGAGAGTGTTAAGAGATTTCGTTCTAGGGTTTGTAAAGTGTGGAAACCCGTAACATTGTTATCATCAATTGTAGCCGTTATTTGAAGATTGTTAAATAAACCAATTAACCATCTCTACGGCGTCTTCCGAACCAAGAAACACGTTACAATATATTTTGTGTTATCTGATTATGTAAGGCAGACTTTTGTTGTTTTCATTTATAAATAAATAAATTTTATAATTAACAGGTGAAAGATATTTAATAATAAGTATTTGAGTTCATCTTCCTAAACCATTGTACATCTTATACACCAGGAAATATGGTAGTTGCTTTATTACAGGTGCAGAATATTTTTGGCCACTGATGTTAATATTTTTTGTTGTGCTTGCACATAATTCCTTATAACTGATAACCAAATTCTTTGTAGGTTTTTATAAGTATTTGATACAATTACCTGTTCTTCAATGAAAATGTAAGAATCTTATGATATGAATGTTTTTACTCAAAACAACACAGTGGGCCACAAACACATACAGGACAACATTAAAGAACCCTCTTCTCAAGAACGACAGGGTGGCACACATTCAGCCCCCATCAGAAGAAATAATAAGAGGGATGACATGAACCAGCTTGGTTTACGAATTCCAATAGAATCTTAACAAACTAACTATAAATAGTTTAAAGTATTGGAACAGCCTCTGTAGTTGTCAAGACTTTAGATTTTACACTCATTTGTATATCGTTTATATTGTATGTATATATTTTAACTTTTAGAACATGTACTGTATTGGTGACTTCTAACAGTATTGATGTAAAGGTGTTCCTCCGAAGATGGTCTCTGAAGACCGAAACATGTAAGGGCATGAATAATTGAAATAAGAAAATCTTAACCAGTCACACTGGACAGAATTATTTAACTTTTTCATAATATTAGTGTTATGGACCAGAATGAAACAAATCAAATTCATAGTGAAAGTTACTTTAATAGGGAAGTGATGCCTTGTAGTCAGAATGTTGCCAATGTTCCAGAGTAACATGATGCATCCATGTTCACTGTACAAGAGTGATCCACCAGACAAAGGATGTCAGGTCCCAGAACATGGTACCCTTCATGGTTACCACTGTCTTAATGTCAGAACTCACAGGTTTATGGTGAGTTCTCTGAAATGTTAGAATGAGCTAACGGAAGGAAGGTAGAAAGCAGCACTAACAACTGTTTGCTCCAGTGTAGGCAGGGTTCAGTAATACAACTTAAATTTGCTAGCCACTTAAGAACATCCACTTGCCAGTTCTTGTGACATGCAAATGAAGTAACTTGAACTGACAAAAATTGGCGAGATGGTGAATTTTCTGAGCGGTTACCCTGGGAATTAAAGCACCTGCTACTATGGTGCTGGCAGCTGGATTTTAACTTTGTAGTAGTGGAATTTGGGGCACACGGTAGTGTAGTTGGTTGAGGCACTATGCTAAAAGCCGGAAGTTCATGGGTTCAAGACCCAATGAGGTCAATGGATTTTTTTCAATTTACTTAATCCTTCTGGGTGCACTATGGCCCTGGGGTTGACTCAGCCTGTAACAGAAATGAGTACGAGCAATATTCTTGGGGATAAATGGCGGCTGGCGCATAGGGCTGACAAGCATACCGCCATCTATGAGCCGATTGTCCAGAAAATGTGGGAACCTCAACATCTCAGAACCCTATTGGCTTTCGTGGCCTGTTACAGGGATACCTTTACTTTACTTACTTTAGTAGTGGAGTTTATATTGTAAATAGTGTGATGCTAGGCCAGCTGGACCCTCAAGTGTTCTGTCACACTAATGTAATACATGCAGATGAAGGTTAAGAGCATTTTATAATCTTATGGTTTGTATTGAAAATTAAGAATTCTGTAATTATTCGTTTATTTAATTTTAAATGCATTTATGAGTATTTGCCAGTCTCCTTAATTGTTCTGTAATTATTTGTTTTTTTAATTTTAAATCCATTTAGTTTCAGGCTAAACAGATATTTGCCAGCTCCAATTAACTCTCCCATGGTGACTGTATTTTTGGAGTTCTGAGAATAGGTTTTGAAGAAAGGGTACCAGTTGTCACTCAAGGTCAGATGTTATCAGAGAAAGCCATGGATCTCACATTGAGACCAAAAGTCATGAGGAAAAATGGCAGAACTGAGTACATATAGAAACAATTCTAGTGTTGTTGGTAGAGATTTTTATGATTCTTCAACACTTAACGAAGGTAATGATTTCAGTTGCTTTTGGAAGACTCGATCACTCCTCTTGAACGCCAGCTGTACTTCACAACAGCCCATGCCCACTTCAAAGCTGGTTGTCCTGCACTTGCACTGGAAGTACTATCGAAGTTACCCAGCAAAGTGATTGATGCAAATGGGGATGACTCGCCAAGTATGTTCTTTAGATTATGTAAAGAACTTAACTCTTTGAGTAAGGGCACATAAAACAGTTACACATCTGAAAGATAATATTAAACACTGTAGGCAGTGAGGACCGGATTTATTAACCAACTTACTCACAAGCCTGTTGCTATGGATGTGCAAGAATTGTCAGGGTGTTTGTAAAGATAATTAAGATATCTGTATAAAGGTAACACNATATTAAAATGGATCTTAGAGAGATAGGATGGGATGGTATGGATTGGCTTGATCTCAGGATAGGGACCAGTGGAGGGCTCTTGTGAACATGGTAATGAACCTTCGGGTTCCATAAAATGCTGGCAAATTCTTGAGTAATGCAGATTTGGCTTCTCCTCAAGAAGGGCTCAGCTCCATGAGTAAGTAAGGAAACCAATGACAACAATGGGATCGTGGCAACAAAAACATTCTTGGGAGTTCACTGTTAAGGTTACAGGATGTACCACTTATCAGCCACATGAGCAAGAACTAATTGCAGGGCATAATAAGAGATGGTGTTCCTGAAGTTGTGCGGGACATAATGAGAAATGCAGTCATATATTACATTTCCTAAATACAATTACCGTGGACACACTGAGATGTAAAAACATTACATTACACTGAATGCTGAGAGATGCCCAGTTCATGACTGCTACAGCAATAGGCCAATGGTCAAATAATCTTATTCATCAGGGGCTGTAAACACCATCATTTGTACATGTGCAGTATTAGTACTTATGTAAAGGAGATAGCTTATGATTGCCTATTTATGTGTTTTATTCATGGGAGATAGAGTTAAACATCAATTTCAATAGATCATTCAACAGCATGTAGGAATGGAAAGGAATATGATGGCTCCTTGTTGAATTCTGAATAAGTGTTACACTAGTGTATGAGGATTATTTATTTAAATTTTCTGGTCAGTAAACTGAATAAGCCAGTTACACCCTGTCACGATTTAACGTAAGTGATGTTCAGAGGCTCATTTGTTGTTGTATATAATCCACATATATATTAAGAGAGAGTAGAAGTATAAAAAAATGGTTTCATTTCAAACAATTTCTGTTTATCACACTGATATACTGGGTTTTCGGACTTTATCCATCATCCTGGCTTTTAAGATAACTAATAAAAACATGACGTTTCGGAAACTGGATCTGTTTCCGTCCTCAGGTGAAGGAAAACACCTATTCTGTGGACCTCAATCCAGTGATTGAGGCTAGCTCTTTCTAACGGACCCAACAGAATAGGTGTTTTCCTTCACCTGAGGACGGAAACAGATCCAGTTTCCGAAACGTCATGTTTTTATTAGTTATCTTAAAAGCCAGGATGATGGATAAAGTCCGAAAACCCAGTATATCAGTGTGATAAACAGAAATTGTTTGAAATGAAACCATTTTTTTATACTTCTACTCTCTCTTAATATATATGTGGATTATATACAACAACAAATGAGCCTCTGAACATCACTTACGTTAAATCGTGACAGGGTGTAACTGGCTTATTCAGTTTACTGACCAGAAAATTTAAATAAATAATCCTCATACACTAGTGTAACACTTATTCAGAATTCAACAAGGAGCCATCATATTCCTTTCCATTCCTACATGCTGTTGAATGATCTATTGAAATTGATGTTTAACTCTATCTCCCATGAATAAAACACATAAATAGGCAGTCATAAGCTATCTCCTTTACATAAGTACTAATACTGCACATGTACAAATGATGGTGTTTACAGCCCCTGATGAATAAGATTATTTGACCATTGGACTATTGCTGTAGCAGTCATGAACTGGGCATCTCTCAGCATTCAGTGTAATGTAATGTTTTTACATCTCAGTGTGTCCACGGTAATTGTATTTAGGAAATGTAATATATGACTGCATTTCTCATTATGTCCCGCACAACTTCAGGAACACCATCTCTTATTATGCCCTGCAATTAGTTCTTGCTCATGTGGCTGATAAGTGGTACATCCTGTAACCTTAACAGTGAACTCCCAAGAATGTTTTTGTTGCCACGATCCCATTGTTGTCATTGCTTTCCTTACTTACTCATGGAGCTGAGCCCTTCTTGAGGAGAAGCCAAATCTGCATTACTCAAGAATTTGCCAGCATTTTATGGAACCCGAAGGTTCATTACCATGTTCACAAGAGCCCTCCACTGGTCCCTATCCTGAGATCAAGCCAATCCATACCATCCCATCCTATCTCTCTAAGATCCATTTTAATATTGTCCACCCAACTACGCCTTGTTCTTCCCAGTGGTCTCTTTCCTTCTGGCTTTCACACCAATATCCTATATGCATCTATATTCTCCCCATTCATGCTACATGCTCTGCACATATCATTCTCCTTGACTTGATCATTCTAATTACACTTGCAGAAGAGTACAAGTTATGAAGCTCCTCATTATGCAGTTTTCTCCAACCTCCTGTCACTTCATCCCTCTTCGGTCCAAATATTCTCCTCAACACCCTGTTCTCAAACACCCTCAGTCTATGTTCCTCCCTTAATGTCAGAGATCAAGTTTCACACATACAGAACCACAGGTAAAATTATAGTTTTGTATATTTTAATTTTTATGTTTTTGGACAGCAGACAAGACAAAAGGTTCTGCATTTTATGGAACCCGAAGGTTCATTACCATGTTCACAAGAGCCCTCCTCTGGTCCCTATCCTGAGATCAAGCCAATCCATACCATCCCATCCTATCTCTCTAAGATCCATTTTAATATTGTCCACCCAACTACGCCTTGTTCTTCCCAGTGGTCTCTTTCCTTCTGGCTTTCACACCGATATCCTATATGCATCTATATTCTCCCCATTCATGCTACATGCTCTGCACATATCATTCTCCTTGACTTGATCATTCTAATTACACTTGCAGAAGAGTACAAGTTATGAAGCTCCTCATTATGCAGTTTTCTCCAACCTCCTGTCACTTCATCCCTCTTCGGTCCAAATATTCTCCTCAACACCCTGTTCTCAAACACCCTCAGTCTATGTTCCTCCTTTAATGTCAGAGATCAAGTTTCACACATACAGAACCACAGGTAAAATTATAGTTTTGTATATTTTAATTTTTATGTTTTTGGGCAGCAGACAAGACAAAAGGTTCTGCACTGAATGGTAGCAAGCATTACCCAAGTTCTGTCTCCTCTTAATTTCCTCCTCAATCAGGTTTTGATTTGTTATCATCATTCACAAATATCTCAACTGTGCCACATTTTCAAAACATCTGTTTTCTATCATTATGTTGTGATTTTGCCCTGTATTTTGGCGATGAGACAGCAACATATACTTAGTTTTCTCTGTGTTTACTTCTAGACCAACTTCCTTACTTGCATCAATTAAAGTTTGTGTTTTTTTCTTTATGGTATATATATTATCACACAGTAGATTCACATCATCAGCATAGACCAACAGCTGATGTGTCCTGTTTAATTTCAGTCCCACCTGGTTTTCCTGGACCTTCCTAAAGGCATATTCTAACGGAAAATTGAAAAGGAGTGGCAATAAAGCATCTCCTTGTCCTAGACCATACTGGATAAGAAATTTATCAGACAAATGTTTACCTCTATGGACTTTACTATATGTTTTGTTTAAACACATTTTAATCAGCCTCACTAGTTTCATGGGTATCCCAAACTCTTTATCAGAATATTACAATACTTCCCTCCTAACTGACACATAGGCATTGCTTTCCTTACACAGAAAGTAATTGGGAAATAAGATGGCCTGCACTCAAACAGATGTACATAGCAGCAGAATTAACAATTTTACCTGGGTTGTTCCTTTGAGAGGAATAACCTTTGTCTTAACCAATTTTTTTTTCTACAAGAAATGGTGGGACCAATAGACAAGCAGACAGACAGGCATGATTGGTGATTATATGTATAGATATGGCTAGATTAACTGGGACACATTTGTGGACTTACTTCAGGGCTATATGCATGTTTGTAGGTGACATATGTGAAGGTATATCTAAAATTCACATTTTCTTTCATTTTCCAGTCCTTTCATATCCCATTTATAATAAACTAACATGTGATCCTGTACATGCAGAAACATTTAGAGGATGGCCTCGAAAAGTATGTGTATCATGGTTCCAGAAGACGTGAATCTGGAAATGTATATAATTCACAAACACATTGGTTTGTTAGTTTGTGAATGACATATTCCACTAAAGCACTTGAAAGGCAGAATCTCTTCATTTATTCATTGAAATCTGTAAAAAACACTGCATTTTTTCAGTTATCAGTGTGTCATGTTCTGTATCTAATGAACGGCTTCCTCCCACAAAAAATGCTTGTTTAGACAAGGATTGCATAAAAAAGTACCGTATCTCCGATTTAGTGTTATTAGTGAAATGTTATTCTGTGTATTTTGACTGATGCAATGGGGAAACAGCACCAGAGAGCAGAAATGGTAATTTGACTGAAGCATTTAAGAAATTCTAAAAATGTTATATCATTCATTCCATGCTCTGTTCCCTCTACAGTTTGACAGTTCTGGGAATTGCAAAGACCATGTGTATGGCCTCTGAGGAGTGAGTGTGTTGTAGGAGAAATACATTGGTTTTATAACTTTAGAAACTTGATATCACAGTACCATACTCTCATAGTATGAAGTTATTCTTTTAATGAGATGTTAGGAAAAGTTCTTGAGGTGTAAAACATATAAAGGACCTGGGAAGAATCATTTATTGGGGTGAGGGCATATTGATTAGGCGATAATTTTAAAATTTAGTTATGAGTCTAAATTTTTTTATTTGTGATAAAATTGTCACGTGTTGGGTATGTAACGCGACAAATAACTTCATGTTGTCTTGGATATAGCGAATTTATTCCACTCACTCTTACATTTACACAGTTCACTATTTTACAACTACTGCCATCTGCAGTATCACAATTGCTTCTCCTGGTTCCGTTTACTCCGGCGAATGCTAGACTGCAACTGACTGGTTACTTCCTCTTACTGACGAATACTCCTGTTATGTAGCTTCTGCGCTGACAACACAGAAAACAGTTACGTGATAACTTTCACTGTTGCGTGACGTTGTGTTTACCAATTGCCTAGCAACATTTGCTGCACGGGGTCCCCTGTGTTGGGTAGGTCACGTGACAATATAATTCTGAACCAAATCTAATGAATTTGTATTTGAAAAACAGCTTTAGAAAATAGGAACTAAGTATTGATGTAGTTCATATGTTTGTTGGTGCAGGCTTGCTGAACAGTCCTAGTAAGGCTAGAGTTCAGGACTTGCAGATAGACACAGGAATTCTAAGTTGGGGTGATCCTACAGACTCACAAAGGAATATAGGTAAGTAGTGTTTTCTTACATTACCAGAGAGCAGATTAGCACTACAGTAAATCCTCATCAGTCCAGACTGCACTGGTCTGGAGTAGTGAGTAATCCAGATTAGTGAACTAAAGATAAAGATAAGCAGCGGCACGCACACAGAGAGACTACACAGAATAACACCGGTACAGTACTAGAAACAAGAAGTAGCCGCTACAGCACTATAGACATAGGGTGAATAACCCTGACATTTTTAAATTTTAAAATTTAGAGAAAATTGAAAAGATTTTAAAATTAGGACTGAAGGTTTTATAAGTGCTAATTCAGAGAAATCAAAATTGACATGTGTAAATAACAAAGATATCAACGAAGTAGATTTGGTAATAATGACGAAAGGAACAATCAGGAAGACCTGTGTTTTTAAATTTTAAATGTTAAACTAAGTGCAGTGTGACAGATACGTGAGTAATACACCTGATGATGGCTGTTTGCGGCCGAAACATGTAGTGTGTAGGGGAGAGCAAAACGAAAGACCTATAATATATGGTTTGTACTGAAGACGGAGTTTGTATCATGTAGCGTAGTGAACTAATGCTAATAATTAATCACTAAAATTACTGTACTTTAACTTTAATAGCCAGTTTGAGTCACTTGCTATAATTTCTGTGTGATTTCTGTGTGGTTTAAAACACATACAAGATGCTCTCAGACAAGTTTATTTCCAGGCATTTAAATTTAAAGTGATATATGCATGAAAGGATATGTGTGTGTTGCTGTACAGAAATTGCAATAGCTCCATAATGTAAAGTTATTTCCCCATAAAACCCTTACAGGATACAGTGGAATCACTTCTTACGCGGGGCTTATGTTCACATATAGTCAGGATTACTCTTGAATATCCCTTAAATCGCCCATAATTGTTTATGTGCTCTGTAATATATATGCATATAATGTACGTAATAAAGATGGCATATATAAATAAGATGTAAAGTAATTTTATTTTTAATTGTATGAAAATTGAGAGAGCTAGATGGAAGAGTATAAAAATAAAAGAGGAAAGTGGTCAGGACTTCCATCCAGGAGACACAAGGACAGGCTTCAGTGATGGAGACCAAGTTGTAGATGAATTGCCTGCACTATTTAAATGTTTATTTTTCCATTTTATTTTTATTTTGTGAAGCATGTATAATTGAATTTGCATACGTCAGAAATGTGTACAATGTGACTCCACTGTATTACTGAGGTGTTTTATGATGAGTACTTAGAATTTATAATCATCCCTTATATTGCACATCATCATCCCTTCTTGGTCGCGAGGAAGCAGCCAGCATACCACAAATGAAGATCACACTGTTTTCACTTGGAAGCACAAGTTCTTACATGCCTAATAATTTTTAGAGGTTGCAGTACATATTTGGTAAGACTGTATTGCACATGAAAATTTGCTTCCTTTATAGTGCCTTGTATGGGAAGCTTCCATTCAGCTGCTTCGTTAAGTTCATTCTGTACTGGAGCCATCTGTCATCTGATATACATTAAAGTCTGTTAACTTGGTCATGGAAAATGAAACTGTTAACTGCGGGTACATTTAGAATAAAATGAAAATTGTGCATGTTGTGGTCTTCTCGATTATGACACCATGTACCAGACTACATGATATCAAAATCCAGGTGACAACAGTTTGAACACATGCTCTCTGGATAACAACCCAAGCGACAGACAAGGCAGTGAAGCAGGTTCATAAGAACATGTGTACACGAACTGTACAACACTCTGACATGACAGATGAAAACCAGAATAGTGGAGCTGGAAGATATGGCCTATGGTAGGCAATGGTTCTGTAAACACGTTCCCGTTGCAATGAAATCACTCCCATCAATAGAAGAACTGTTAGAAGCAGTGATTTCTATGCAGTGCATTCTCAGACTATATAATAAGAAATGTGCACATGTGGGTCCTGCAAGGGCTGGTAGCAAGAATGACAGTATGACAGTGCTGGCAAAGGCCAGCATCAGTTTACCCAAAACTGAGCACAGAAGTAGAAAAATCTTAATTGTTAGAAGCTGCTACCAAGCAACAGCTAGTGAAGACATAACAGATTGAGAAGACTCAGTTTGCACTATAATGATTTTGTAGTGTGTGCACATTAGTAAGAGTTTTGTAATTATGTGTGATAAATGTTCAGTAAATCAGTTATCATTCCAGACCCCATGTCTAGTGACTAGCACATGGCAGTGTGAAGTGGAAAACGTATTTTCACTGCTTTTTAGGATGATGTTCTTTTGACTGACAGCTCCTTTCCTTTTGGTGTGTTTCCTGCACTCTTTATTTTATTACTGAGAAGTCATGCTGATCTTGAGTAACATCAGTAATGTGGTAAAGCCTTTTTGCTAAACATATGATGTTATGTTGTGTACACCAACAGTTCTCAAACTCTTTGTGCTTGGTATCTTCTGAACAAACAAATATCTGGACACCATGGAAAATAACTTAAAACTAATGCACAGTTTAATACTTCATTTCATTCATTCATTCATTCATTCATTCATCAATGGCTCTACAGCCCTGTCTTGGGCCCTGGCCTCTTCTTCAGTTTCGTAATCTGTTTTACACAGGCGGTAGGACTCCTTGGACGAGGGATCAGCCCATCGTGAGGCTGCCACCTACATNTTCATTCATTCATTCATTCATTCATTCATTCATCATTGGCTCTACAGCCCTCTGTTGGGCCCTGGCCTCTTCTTCAGTTATGTAATCTTTGTTACACAGATGGTAGGGCTCCTTGGACGAGTGATCAGCCCATCGTGAGGCTGCCACCTACACACAGAACAACACAAACAGAATAAACATATCCACAGACATCCGTGCCTTGAGTGGGATTCAAACCCACGATCCAAGCATTTGAGCAAGCAAAGGCAGTTAATGCCTCTGACTATGTGGCCACTGTGATCAGCAGTTTAATATTTCAGTTCTCTTAAAATATAAATGAACAGTGATAACCTTTATAACTGTCATATATGCAAATTATTTTGAGTTGGCTTAAAATGAAGCTTATTCCAGTACTGGGATTTCTGAAAATACAAATGAATACTTACAAAACCCTTGGCAAGTTGTTTTGATACCTCTGTATACACCATCTTGTTCATTAATGCTTCATGATAGTGCCACTCGTGCCAGCATGCATGGCTGTTGTGATGAGTGTCAGTGATCGAGAATAATGATGTTTGGGATATGACACCATGTAGGCTGGTAAAAGGTGACTGACATTTCAGATGAATATACTGTCTCTATTGTCGGGGCTGATGAGTACTCTGTTTGCCGCCTACTTGCATGGTTTCTGAAGCTGGAGGTAGTACATTCCTTCGAAATATCAGTAAACTTTTACCATACTGCATGGCATCACATTCCAAAAGAGAGTACTCTTCATAGTCACTGGTTGGCAAGAGATGATGTAAGTCCAAAATTGAAACTGTACACAGATCCATTTAAGGGATTCTAATTTACATTGTTTGCAGTATTCAGTATTTATTAAGGATATAAATGTTAAATTGTTGAGTGAAATTATTCACTCATTTCTCTGTAGCAAATTGGAACGAATAATATTGTGACATGTTGACCCCTACCTCCCCAGCGGTATGTGGCGGTAACGTAACGCTCGCGTTACTACGGTAATAGGCGAGTTCCCGCCCCGCCACTCCCCTCCGCGGTGACGTCACCGAGGGATATCGCGGTCGCTAGGCAACGCGAGTCAACAGCGGCGACGTTACGATAGTAACAGCGGTTACCTCCACTAGCGTTACATAGCAACACAGCGCCAGGCAAAAAGGGTGCCTATTACGCGGCCGTTTTCCATATGGTCCGATCGAGGCTACATGAGGCACAGCGAAGGCTATTCACAGTCAGTTGTACTGAGTTGTACTGAGACAGTCCGCGAGACCTGGAGCTACCGCCGAGTTAGCCAGCAACCAGTCAGTTGTATTGTGGCATTTGGAGTGTACTAATTGTGATACTGCAGATAGCAGTAATCGTAAATCTGTAATTTGGGTGATTGTGAGAGCGGATGTGAAATAAAATTCGCTATATAAAATACGACGTGAACTTATTTGTCGCGATATATGCCCGATACGCGACAATATTGATTTATGTTAAGTTTGTTTTTAACTCCGTTCAGGTCATTTCTGCAGTGTATCTATAATTAGAATTTGATGTTGCACTAACCTGTCTGTGATAACTTCATTCAAAATTTTTTCACTTGTTAAGTTGCTGGAAGTTCCTTATACCTATTGAAAGTTCTGCTCCAAATACAAGTGAACTAAGCATCAATCCAGCAGCAAGAATGTAGAATGCAAGCTGAAGATCAGAGAGTGAAAATAATTTTAGAGTTTTTGGTTTAAGTTGAGATTTTCTGTAAGTTAACTTTGTCTTGATGTCTATTGAATCCCAGAACCACTTTTCCGTCAGACCACATTCAATAACTTTGTGGAAAAATGAGTTGAACACTTGTAGGTACGGAGTATGCTTTGGAAGAATGTAAGCTAAATAATAGTAGCCTGGACACTCGTCAACCATGTGCATCAGCGCTGTGCCATCTGGCAAGATGTGTTTTGTAACCAGAAACCTTACGCTGCTCTCCCTTTCAGTAATAGCTGCATCAGACTTTAGCACATGTTGAATCATCTCTTCTCGTGTTCCTTCAAACACTTTGAGCTTCTTGGTAACAATGTATCCTCCATTCTTAAGCATATCCCTAGTTGAAGAAGATCCTGTGAGGATCTGTAAGTTGGAATCATATAGTTGTTCCAGTGTGTGAATATCAGTCCCATAGTTTGGAGATGTTATATTGGTAACCAAGAGGCCTTGAAATATATTCATCATTACCAAACTGAAAAGTAGGCATGATGCAAATAGCAACTGTTGCATCAGGATCCTGGGAGGATGGCTTACTGGTGACAGCACAAAAACTTGGAACATGTCAAATGCTGGCAAACATCCAATGGACTGATTTTGTAAGTGGAATTTCT